ATTTATTTGTTTCCTTTGTCAGGTGTATTTTATTTGTTTTAATGCAAGCATTTGTGTTTGTGTCTTTGAACCTTAACAATGTTCAAAATAAATATGCAAATATTGTCAGAACATCTTCCATGTCTGCATGTGTTCCTTAAAATTGTGTTTTTTATCAAAATGATGAGAGAAAATGTTGAAATGTGAAATAATTTTAGGAAATGTTAAATATTATCTGCTGACAAAAAAGTAAAAGGTTAAAATGATGTCCTGACTAAAACTAGACTAAAATGTTGACAGTTTTTTTTTTGACTAAAACTAAACGAATAAAATTATGTTTTCTTGGACTAAAATAAAGACTAAAATGCTCGACTTATAGTCGACTAAAACTAGACTAAATAAAAATGGGATGATGTCGACTAAATGTGATAAAAACTAACAAGCGATGCTGAAACTGGACTAAAACTGAAACTAAATTTAAAAATGGCTGGTAAAATTAACACTAGTGTGATCACAAGGAAACTAAAATACTCTAAAAGGTAAAAGAGGAAACCGTCCTCTCCTAAAAGGAAACAATTTCTTGTTCCACAGAATATTTTGTTTTCCTCCTGAATTGTCTGAATGACATAATCCAGGGCAACAGTGATGATCTGTTGTGATGGCAACCTTAATGGTGTAGTCACCAAGTCTTAGCTTTTCAAATCATTCACTGCGTTCACATTGATCCAGAGTCACTGCACAGAAATAGACAGTAAAGGAACATGATTCAACTGTTTCAATATCTTGTGCATGGTTTATTTCACTATTTTCTAGTGCCACTCATGTCTCATAAGAATGTATGCATATTCAGATAACATTTATAGATTGAACAGCATAAAAAAGAATGAAAATCAATAACAGAAATGACTTGATGGAATCCTATATGCAATATGAATGACATTGCAATTAAGGGTTTAGCAGTCCTAATCATTAGGCTAAATGATATCTCTTTTTATTAGCAGAGTCTGCAAAAATCACAACAGGACAACCCGTAAGACAACATACAGGTATAATCTTAAGTTCTTTTGTAGAAGAACCATCTAATTCAGTGGATGAAAACTTCAACAAGGATCTCCCATTCAGTCACAGTTCTGTCCAGTAGTGCATGCCTTGCCCTCATTATCCATGTCACTCAACAGACAACCAGTCTAAACAAGGATTGCATTTCCTTCCATGAGTATTTATATAATTGCTCAAGGTCAGTTTTGTAAGTTAAAAAAATTAAAGGCTGCAAGACCACATTTGACAAAAGGGAACCGAAACCAAGAAGCCGGAATAAAGAATGACTAATATAATAATAACAACAACAACAGGCATTTCATGTTGGCAATCAATTTAACAATAGCACAGGAGAATTAAGTTTCCCACAGAGATTGAGAACCAAGGAAACAAACAGAATGACTATTAACACTTCCAAGAAACACATTATAAATAGTGCAAATAAAAGAAGAACGCAACAGTTTCCATTTCCAAGTTTTCTGAGAACCATATTTTTAGCAAATTTGATGTGAGAAGTATCAGAAATATGGTGCTAATAGAAGGTACAATTTAATCCTTTTTAGTTTTTTCTTGAAAAAGAAAAACACATTTTGAAGACAAAGAAAAAAAATGGATATCTCGTAAGAGACTTAAAGCTATAAAATTACATTCATATAAAGTTTAAACCACAGCATCTTTCCAGAAATGTACAAAATCTATGGGGAGAAAAAAGCAGTGTGCAACACTCATAAGTGTAACAAAACAAGAACAGCTGTGTCCAGCACTCAGCATGGTGGAGGATATTTTTTGACATGCAGAGCCCTGCAGAGAATGAGCTGGACACAAACACGGCAAAAAATGACTCCTATTTATTTCAAACTGAGAGCAAATCCTCTTTCATAGTGCAGTTTTTGTCCTGAGACAGAAAGGGAGTTGAAATGGAAACAGCACAGCAGACTGAGAAAGTTCATCATATCTACTCAAAGACAAGCAGACAGAGATCTACACAACTTCATCTAATCATTCTAATCCCAAATGCAAAAACTCATTCCAGAACCTTTTCTTGAGGGGCGGTATTATTTGTGATTAGACCAATAATACCCCTTTACCGCTGAAACTGTTCTGGTGCGGGTTCCTGGCCTTTGATCGTTCCGTACATTACCATTGCAGAAAAGGGGGTTTCAGGCTGGAAAGACTAGTACAACTGGGGGATGGAGAGACATACTGGCAAACTATTAAGAAATGTAACACTGCACTATATTGCTCTTTAATCTAAACATATAAAACTATGTGCGAAAGAGAGACTCAGGGCCCTAACATACAACCGGCGCAATGCGTTTTTAGCTAATTTCAGCCAGATGTAGTTATCGTTTTCACGTCCTGCGCCATGTTGTTTAAATAAGAAAAAGCATTTGCGCTCATTTGTGCATCAATGGGTGTGCTGGTATGAGAAAAAGGCACTTCAGGAGCATTGTTGGCACGTTGCTATTTTGAGGCAACTGAAAAAGACGGTGCCATTGACCAACTGAAACCAGAAGTCAAAGGCTTTTTTTATTTTATTTAAAGGGCGCATTAGTAATATAAGCCTATAGGCGGGTGCGCGCAGCTTCTTATTGCACAGACGGACGCACAGCAGCATACAAACAAGCCAAATATTAAAACGAAAAGGATTACAATGTAAAAGATAATATTTGTGTGCATAAAGATATGGTGGAATCCGGCTTTTCCCGTAGATGGTCAGCTGGTGTGCTTTAACCTCGCGCACAAGCAGATCCCTTTCCTCTCTAGAGAAGCGTTCAGTCTTTCCGCTTGCAAATCCCGCAATGTAAATAGCGAATCCGCCATGGTGAGAGCGCAACTGGCTTTTAAAAATAATTGGAGATGAGACTCTGATTGGTTTATTGCACGTTACGCCCAAAACACACAATTACTTAAGAGAATAGGCCCTTTTAGATCATTTTTCCCTTTGTAAAAAACTAGCAAAAGTGGATTTGGACACGCCCTAACTGCACTTGCGCTGGGAGCTTTAGACCATGCGCTTAGAATAGGGCCCCCAGTTTGCAAGAGAGTGAGTGAATTGTATGGAAATGTGGCCAGTTTGCGACACTCCAGTTCGCCTGGCCGAGAACGCAAACCCATTCTGGGGGAAAGAGGGCATTTGTGTACTATGCAAGTACAATATGTCCATTCTATTCAATACACTTCATAACAATAATATGATTTCACTTTAGAGAAAGCCGCCATCATTGGGGAACATAAACAGAGTGACGAATCAATGCATTTCACACAAATCGAACAATTTTCGTAGTTCCATCCCTACTTTGGATGAAAAGCAAGGTAAAAAGGCCTGTTCACACTACCAAACGGCTGTTAAAGCGTCTGGTCAAAATGACAAATATTCACATGCTGTTACAGTTTTTTTTTTTTTCACTGAGAGATGTCCCATTGCACTGCAAACAAAACTGGCCAAACAATAACTCAAACTTAAGACTCAATCTTGCAATTTTATTGGAATGTAACGACTTTAATGTGTAAATAGAGTAAGAATCCAGATTGCATGCAACAATTAGTTTCGTTTCAAACATTCTTCTTGAAAATGAATGAGTGCTTCAGTAAAAACAAGTAGGTTTGTGATGCATACATTATGGCATTAAGTGCTCATCAGACTGATAATGACGGTGAGAAAGCTATTAAAACTGCACTTAGAGGCTTGATAATGGAAAAAAAAAAATCATGTTCACTTGGCACTCTGTATTTAAGCCATTTAATAGATACACAACACACAAGCAGCACCTACACACTGCTCATACACACACACACACACACACACACTCTCTCTGTAATAACAGACAGGGCTGAGAACACACAATAGCAGTGGTGGCAGCGAGGATAATCTCCTCCCACACACGTGGGCCGTGCTGAACAAGCTGCCAGCAGCGTCTCTCATCCCTACTGCCAGCAGGCCTCCAACGCAGAAGTGTGTTTGTCTTTGGTGCCATGTGTTTCTGAACTACCAGTAGGCTGTGTGTGCACAAGAAATACTGTCACATCACTACGGGGACCCGATAACATCTAATAACCAATATGTCTTCGCAGCAGAAGTCGAGCCGAGCATTGAGCCGCGCTTCAAGTCTGTTCCTCAGGTGGGTCGTTAGCTTAATTTAGTTCTTGGTAAAATAGCTAGTGATGTATATGATGAGTACTCCATTAGGAATAGAAGAAATCTTTTACTTTAATGAAAGTGCGAAAAGCACTGTCTGCTAGAAAGCTCTTTTCTAGGGGTTGTGATAAAACTATTTTTGAATAAAGCCAACTGTTGAGACCACAAAAAAAAAAAAACTCCGGCAATTAGCAATAACCGTTTTCTTCCTGCCATAGATCACCCTCCACCCACGTTCAATGCGACAGGGGGGATGGGGCTATTCTGGTATTCAGTGCAAGTGCGTCTCCTCAGAGAGAGCATTCTTTACACACACGCTCACCCACATGCATGAGTTAAGCGAGCAGTGCAAGTGTGGGGGAAGGTGGAAATTAAAAGTTGGGGAAGAGGAAGAATTTGGAAACATTATGCAAGCTTCCTCATCTCTCCTCCTTTCCCACGAGGCTCTCTAATGTAGCTGTTTCTGCTATGACAATATCAGAGCTGGCGGCGAGTGGTAAGTGGACCATCTCCCTCCAATTCATTTAACCCGTCCACAAACAAACCTATAATATGAAGAGATGGATAGGATATGAAATGGAAGGGAAACATTGGAGGAGATGATCTGCGTGTGCGGGGAGTTTATCGAGTGAATGACTACATCTTAACTACATCTTTTTCCTATTCATAGATCTCCAATGCGCCCTTAGCGTGAGCCAGCATGCAACAGCTGTGCACGAATAATCACACTGGCATCTTGCATAAACCCAACCAATAAAATCTCACTAGTTCTGAGACATCACATACTCAAATAATCCTTAAAATTATTGGACATTACCAAAGAAAAATAAGGAGTATGACTTACCTCTTTTTCTATTTTTATTTTTCCCCTGCAATCCACTGCCTTCAACAGTCCATAACCCGGCTATTTACACCTGCCGACGATGAAGATGATGATGACAGTGGTAACAGACAGCGAAGAGACAGCCAAGACTAAGACTAACCGTGTCAATTCAACAAGTCCTCAAGATTCTTCGAAGCCCTATGCAGTCAAGAGTGGACCAAACTCTGGCAGCGTCCCTCCCCCGGTGACGTCAACAGCCAGTCACGTGAGCGCATAAAAAGCAGAAGTGAGCTAGTGTTGCCCTGGCAACAGGCAGACAGTTCTGTAGTGATTTCAATAGGTCATCTGTCAAAGCTGCAGTGAAAGAGACCCTCACAAAACCACAGTCTAATCCTGCAGTGATAATAAGCGAGTGTTGTGGAAGAAAAGCTGAAAATCTTCAGTGTGGACAGGAAGCTGCATCGAACGATGAAAGAGAAACCGCATGAAGTGTGCAAAGATTTGCGAAATCAGACTGTTGCACTGTAGTAAACTGCTTTCCATTCCTCAATGCTTCTTGATGCAGAGTTCCCAGCCGTTTCAGACATGCTTTTCTCAGTCATGACAGTGGCTGGTGCTGAGTCAATGGTTCCCATGAGACTTTGAATCCAGATTATAAACATTCTTTGGTAATCAGAACCACAGAGGAAGGCAGAACATAAACAGACTTCAACTCCAAGTATAAACCAAGTGTGTTCAAACTGCCTGAATGGATTTTTTTTTTTTTGCTTTTGAGTGATGCAATAACACCTAGTATCGTCATCAAATTCCTTAAACTGAAAGTGAATCTTTAATGGTTAAAGTTCAGAATCAATAGTAGCAACTTGATAAAACTGAGCAATCGAGTGCAAGCCAGGCTGGTCACAACAATAGGCACTTTTGAATAGGGCTGGGTATCGTAACAAAATGTTCGATACCGATACCTTGACTTCGATACCAATTTTATGATACCAATTATTCGATACCAATTTTATTTTAACCAGTTTTTACTATAATATTACCTACATTTTTATTTTATTTTTCAGTTTGATGACTTTCACACTTGTATTTTGAGTATATAAAAAAACCACCAATGCTAATTTTTTCTTTTTTTCTATCATTTAACAACATGTTTTCTTTACTTCAATGAGCTCATTGTTTCTGCCTTATCTTAATGCATTGTTTAACAATGAAACTGAATGAAAATTAATTGAAATGCATTACACCGTCACCTCGGATAACAGATCATCACTCTAAATTGTAATTTAGAAATATGCATTTTTTGTAAAACATGCGTTTCTGCTTTGAAACGATATGTATTGAGAAAAATGCTATACAAATAAATGTGAATTAAATTAAATATAGGCTACTGGGGGGCGGGATATATGCCTCGCATTCAGCACACATGAAGCTTGCCGCAAAGCACTGGCAACAGTAGCCTAATGATTATGGATGTGTCGGGAAACAACAGCAAGGATATATTTTAATTGTTTATTAATGAACAAGTGTTTAATAAGTCAGGCGATGTTGACTCGTCATTCCTGCAGCAGTGAATGTGCGCGCCTATGGATTAGGTAATCAAACTAATTTCTAATCGTTTCGTTTTAAAGTATACATATTTTGACCGTCTATAGTCCTATTTCTCATGTCTATGAGGCAAGTACCGATATGCTGAGCCTGAGTGTCGGTTAATCTGTGACCCGCTCCAGTTCTTGCAGTCAAAGATGGATAAACTTTGTACTCTCAAGTGTCTGTGCGAGTATCAGAGAAAGGGCTGCAACAACTAATCGATAAAATCGATTATAATCGATTATGAAAATTGTTGTCAACGAATGTCATTATCGATTAGTTGGTCTGATACGTCACGGGGACTGTTTACATGCTACATGCGCTTCTTACATGCGTCTTCAATGAGGCACACACGCAGTCTCTCTCCCTCGCCGCTCTACCCTGTCTCGCACGCGCAACACCGACTGTTTGAACGGAGCACATTATCTTCTCTCGCGCGCGCAACACGGACGGTTTGGAGCACATTATCTTCTGTCTCGCATGCGCGCTCTTGATTCCGTGAGTTTGAACTAATTTGCGGGCATCAGGAAACCGCTATCAATATGCAGCATACACGAAAATAATTCACCTTTCGGCAAATTCGCCGTTTTGAAACCAAAATAGGTGACCTACGTTAATCGTGTATACTTTATGAAGCCATACTATAGTATAATGTGAGATAGAAATGTATATTTAAGTAATTAAATTAAAGTTAACCTAAGCTTTTCCCTCCACTGCGGCTGTCAGTCATTCTCTATGTTCAAACAGCGCGTCACGTTCGGTTACAACAGTTAACATGATGAAACTCTTTCCAAGATGATTCAATGTTATTATTATAATTGATCCGTAGATAAAGGTCTATGGTTTCGTAATATAATGACTATCTTGCTAGACTTTTATTGCTGTAACTTAATCACTTTCTACTGAGTGTCTGTTAGATCACAACACTATAGTAGAGTCGGCGCACTATAATTGTTCTTCACGTGCACAGTAGCCTAACTGAAATGTAAAACTGTTAAAAGAAAAGGCTTAATAAACTATTGCAAAGATACTGTATAATACACAGTCAATATGTCTTTCTCTTTCCTTGGTGCTTTTAACTTTAATGCGGCGGACACTGAAGAGCTGCGCGCCGCCCTGTGACTCCGTGTTGAGTCAAGGGCATCATTCAGCGCTCGCGATACTTTGTGCAGCTCTTTCATGATCATGTCATAATACTTTTGCGCAATAAAAGCTTATTAATAGCCTTTCTTGTTCTGTCCTATCTATTATATTTTGCTTCCTCACTAAACAGCTGTGCTTTACATTTAAAACAGCTGTGCATCTGATTTTTACGATGTTTTTCATGAATGTATAACAATACAAAGAGCAATGTGCAACGTTTTACCAGAGTTAGTGCTACACTTATTGTCTCTTATTTGTTCCCCACTAAGGAATGTTTTTTTTTTTCACTAAATGTTCAGATTTTATAAAATTATTGTGCACTTGTGATATTTTTAGGCTAAGTTTTTCTAGTAAACATCTAGTTTACAATAGCATTTTTGTCGTAGGTTATGGTCATATATATATTTTTTTATTTGTTGTTTTTCTTTATAATAAAGTTGTCTGTATTAAGTAGATTGTTTAACACACAAAAGAGTGTGGTTTTTAGGGTTTTATGGTTTTATTTAGTTGTAATAAACAAAAAATGAAATAATTTTTTTTATCCGATTAATCGAAAAAATAATCGTCCGATTAATCGATTATCAAAATAATCGTTAGTTGCAGCCCTACAGATTTACCGTGTTTTACTGGTCTTGGCAGCAATTATCTTGTCGAAAATATTGCATCGAGTGCTTCTGGCATTGAGTCTGGCACATAGGTAGGCTACACTTTGGATCATTTCCACATATTTTCTATCCATCTATGTTGGGACGCTTACACAGGCACGCACACACACACTCACGTGCGACGAGCTACGTCTCTGAGCAGCCGCGTAAACTAGTGTTTTCCGCCACAGCCTATCATACTGCGTGCTTATTGTTTCACTGACGTTAACGAGATTAACCATTTAAGTACTGAAATTTGGTACCGAAAAACAAGACATGTTTCGATACTCTGTAGTACGGAGGCAATTCGGTCGGTACCTAAAAAGTACCGAGCTCGGTACCCAGCCCTACTTTTGAATGACAGAAACAGTTTTTAAGGATCAAATACAATGAAGGACTTAGATAAGACACAAATATCACACAAGTGATATAATTCATTTTAATTACATTTTAGAGCTTTCTTTTAACTATTTTCTCGGCAGGTTTTGTTTATTTTTGAGAGCCAGCGCCAGCTTTCATGGCCCCCAGAATATTTTGTTGCATAAATATCTGAACATACAATATATTAAAAAAAGGAAACCCTCTGCTTTTAAACAAAATGCTTATTCTAGCATAATGCATTCTTTTTATAATCAACACTTTCATAAAAAGCAACATTTTGTGCAAAAAGCATTTTTTTTTTCTCAAAAACTACATCCAGATCGGATTTAGAATGATGATCAAAACATAGCAGAAGTCAATCGAGTCCATCAACACCCTCAAAGCTCCATAGTCCTAGCTTGTCCTGGGTCAACATTTAATTCAGTGAAGTTTTGATTTATATGCTGTTTAATGTTGATGGTCGCATATTTTAATATCGTTTTTGAATCGGTTTCTTTTTCGTCCGTTTTTGATCCAGAGATTCTTTACTCATGAACTATGTCAATGGTGGGGAAAGCAGATCTCATAAATGACAGGGGGAAAAGAAAACAGCACAACAACAATGCATGTTTGCAAAGTTTCTAATATTATGGGCTCATTTGAATGATCAGGGCCAGACACAAACCCACGGGCCAGACCTATCTGGGTGTGTAATTTATTTGCCTTGAGTGGCACCAAACAAAATCGTGCAAAATAATGACCTCTTCCGCTGCTTGGACAAACAGGGGGGTTTGGATGCTGCTCCAAACTCATGTCAATGACTGATCCAATGTCAGGCAATGCAAACAATGAGCAATACTTCAAGTGAAACAGAGCCACGGTGTTTAAATGAACCTACAAACTGTTTACATAAAGTTCTCTCTGCACATTAAAAGGGGATAGGAGAAAGTATCGTATAGGGTTGGGCCGCTGGATGATATCATCGTCCATCGCGATGGCCAAAGTCCTTTTAGGCAAGTCATGCCACTAGGCTACCATCTTGGAAATGCCTCCGGGCAGCTATTTCGGACTAACAAGACCAGGCTCCTATCTAAATGAATGGGCAGAGAGTCAGAACTGCACTTTCACTGGTCACCGGGACATGAAAACTGCTTGTATAGAAACAGCAGTAAAATATGATAAAAATCATTGCCTCAAAATAAGATGTAAAACGCCTTTTTCCCCACAGGTTATACGTTTACTACATATGCGCAAGTGTTCTGGTCTCCGCCGGCACAAACCTCAACTGTGCGCATGCGTCAGTGGAACCAGAAGATAGGCTTACACATTTCCCAGCTAGACTGTTAAAAGCAGACGATTGGCTTTAGAGCGGGAGGGGCGGGGCATGTGCATACAATCATCTTTGGTGTTACAGGTTTTCCCAATTTGTATTGAGGATTGAGGAAGTGGCATGTCTCTATATAAATTGTCTCTGTGATGGCTGACAGACATCACGATGTTAGACGGTATAGGCTAAAAGTTCAGAAGAAGTTTTCCTAAACTTGAATTAGGAGAAGATCTGCAGGATTTAGAAACTGAAACTGCTTTTTAGATGAGAGTAGCGTAAAAATAATGTGCTCTAGTCATAAAACACTTTTTCCACTCTAATCAACATCCAGGGATGCAACCCGATTAAACTCTAGCATTAGGTTTTCAGCATATGTGTGGTTTCCCTTTCAACATAACTTTGAAAAATAGGCAGCACATTTTCTTATTTGTGTCTTCCAGAAACATAAAAGATTCTGCGGGCAGCACTGGCCTAAGAAGCCAAGGGAGTGAGTCCTGGTCTCTGCACTCCATTACAGACAGCGGAAAGAGAAGTACAGGGGTCTCTGGGTCACTATTCCAGGGTGAACCCGCCCACTCTCCGGCCCAAGAGCGTGGAAAAATCTGCTTTCATGCAAGGGGTCTAATT